TAGGATATTTTGTTTAGTGATAGTGACTATATACTTACTTTATGCAAATAATTATGATAAAACTTGAATATAGAGTTAGGTTAGTTCATTTCATCGAAAATAATTGTTTGGAATCTTATATAGTGATTTTATTTGAATAGTGCGGTACCTAAATTCAGTAGGTATTGCAATGATCTATTTATTGTAAGGTCAGCAGGTAAAAAAAAATCATTCCGGGATATTTATTTGTTTATTCTATAAGTAATTAACTATTTGGGTCACGAGCTTATGTAAACATCAGAAGATTCTATAAGATGCTCAATATAATGGTTCACGAGTCATGTTCACGTAATACTGGCGCTTGGAGAAATATAAAGATTATAGTCCAGGAACGAAATTGATATATTTGGATATACACTCGGATATACAATTTCGTCTACGAGGGATGGATGGAATGTAATGAACGGGTATCTTAGACAAAATTATGTGGATTTCTGAATTCTTTTGAACTGAGTACAGTGAACAATAATTGTCTTAAATAAGAATAACTTTTATCATGCGTCTACTAGGCAATATTATTACGTGAACGGACGAATGTTTATTTTGAATTGAGTGCAGCATCATTAGCATAAATAAATGTATAGAATAAGTAGGTACGTTACCTTTGTAAAACGAATTCACTGGTCACTTGAGAACGAAGCAGGTTGATATCACAGGACCGAATTTAGAGACAAAAATGACGTTGATTAGAATTTGCAGAGAATTTATAAGTTCAGTAAAGAGTGACTGACTTCAATCTGATTGGCTCGAAAGATCAATATATTATTATTTAGCCCAAATACGTAAGGGAAAGAGCATGTAATTGTCAATTTTGTTTATATTCCTGGAGTGAATTATTATCATAACATTAGAGAGTTACATCGAAATCATCTCACTTGTGCAAATTGAAGTCAAGACAAATTAATGAGAATCGTAAACCACATTGAATTATTGCTTGAAAAAGGGTTAATGGAAAACTATAGTAAGTGACAGTTTTATTAACATCAAGAGTATGAGTTGAAGCTTTAAATTATTTATCTTCATAACAATTCAGAACTACAACGAAATCTTTTCAGTTTCGCAAATTAATCCTAACATCTGTAATTTATCGCTCAAAAATCTACGAAAAATCTTGCCTAATATAAACACAACATGGAGCTTGTCTTATATTCAATTGATTCTCCCAAAATTTATTGCTAAATTCTGTATAAAAGCAGAAACAATCCGAATGAGAGAAGACAGTCTGAAGTTATTCTTGAAGCAGTCTTGATCAGTCTCCAATACGATGTTTCGATCTCCGTTGTGTTAGTTGAAAGTTTTGTTAGTGAGCCTCGGGAGTGATTGAATCTCAATCATTGAATCTATTGAGCAGAATGTAAAAAGTCTTAAACGTGACTCAATACAAAACGTATCCAGCCGACTTTGTATCTGTCTATCAAACATGCTACGTTCGAACAGTACCAGTGAACTTCGTTAATAATACCTGTGTAAGTAACCACTCAGGTAGATTTATTGTAAACTGCAACTTTTGTGACTAAGACGTAAAAGTGAAGTGAATCTCTCGCAAATTAAAAACAAGTGAACAGTGTAAGAAAAATGTGCAATCTAAACTGTAAGCAAACTTTGATTTTGTTGAGGTTACAGGCAACAACCTGACCATACTACCTGGATATATGTCTCAGTAACTATCTATATGTTGTCTTAATGTCTACAATCTCAGTCTGCCTCCTGCCTCAATAATCACGAACCCATTGATCGGAAAAAATCACTTTGTAACGGCCCCCTGTAGTAGGCCAACGAACGAAGAAAGTTGGGGGCATTACAGTGTTCTTAATATCTTCTCATAATTTTTTCTCTCATTTTCAACCAAATTGTTGCTATACATCAATTTACCGCTCGTGATGTTGCTCGGCAAAAACATTTTCGTGAACAACAATGCGACAGAAGTATCTCGAATATTCAGAACATCGTAATATCATCCTTAGCCATTCGACAATCACATAATTGTGTGTGAATCGTTCCTTCAACATCACAGATTTGTACCGGATAATTTTCTCCCAAAACTTGTAATATAGGTACAAATTATATTGATGATTCCTTGAATTATATTATGTTGTCAACATGGCGCTTGCCAGTTTGAAATTTTCGACATTTATATACAATATCCAGTGTGACAAAGGCTAAATGAAGCTTCATGTGAATGGTCAGGTAGAGTTCTCTTCCCTTGAGAATATATTATAGTTCTTTGTTTGATAATTGAGCTACCCATGTTCCTATCCAACTGAAGACAAAACGATTTTAATATCTTTCCTGATTTCGTCATGCTTGTAACCTCATCTTTATATGATTTCAATGTTATTTCACTTCGCTCATATTTTGTTCCATTCTGATATGTTTTCCACTTCTGATATTTGATAATGAAAATGGTGAATTCAAGATCAATCAATGGAAACACCATATATAACTCATATTTTTCTGTCAACTTCTGTTACTGATGAGAGTAAATACGAGAATATGAACGAATTGCTGAGAATGATGACGGAAGCAAGCATCATCACAAAACCTCCAAATGAGACAAGTGAAAATTCGATAATTATTTCATATACCTATATTCTATATTTTACAACTTTTTCTGACACAGTATAGATTGAATTTCTCTTCTTGGTGTTTGAAAGTGAAATTTTCAAACGCAGTGACATTTTGAGGCCTATCATCTAGTTTGGCCTTACAAGACATTCCTGGAATGACACTGATAGAAACAAGGAGAGAAAATCCCATAAATTCTAGGGAAATGGATAACTCACCTCATTGAGTGAAATCTACAGAAATTGATGAATATTCACTTCAATTCAATGAAGGGTCATTGAATGACATGAAATTAACGAACGTGTGTCAGACCAATGATAAAAATTGTGAATAGTTGTTTTTCCTACTGTTGCAACTTTTCTGATGAATAAGATAATCATTGTTGAAATATTCAACAGAAAACAACAACATTGCTGGTTAATACTACAGAATATTGAATTGTATCTGTCGAATACTCGAAAAACCTGGTTAAAAAAAAACTAACAATTATTGTTCAAATATCTGACAGATAACATTTTAGGCCATCACTGGATATTGAATGAAAATGATATATCCAATTTTGAGAAAATATTGGTTCTCTATATCATTACTAATAGATGTTTACTGTTAGATATTTTTACTATATTTCTCCTATATATCACGCAACTCATCCCCAACGGAGGCGTTATTTGGACGATGAGAAACAATGATTATAGATCTTATGGAATACACTGTGTCCAAAATGAGGATGTCAATCATAGGGATCGTTTTCATTTGGTTCTGACGTTATTCAAAGATATGAAGGAATTTTTTTTATGTTCTGGTTCCCACGAAAAGGGATATCCTGTAATGTTCAGAAAACATCGTGAGAATCAAGGGAAATGAAGTAGGAATTGGTGTTCTTCTCAAATTTCTAGAGGTTATATGCCTTGGGGCATACCTCCCTTGGCAATGTGTTTCAGAGCCTCGCTGTTCGTTGGATGAACGAGTCTTTGGAAAGAGATGTTCTGCAAGTCTCCAAAGTGAGCACGAAGGGGTGCGAAGTCTCAACTCAACGGGTTAATCTCGCGGGCACTGCCAAGGGAGAAACAATTGTTGATATTTCAGAAGAGCATCGTCCATAAAAATATCTGTAAAATAAAGCCAGATCGTCAACTTTTCTACGGTGTTCCAGAAAAGTGAGTGAGTTTGTGAGCGAGGCATCACCCACGAGACGAATTGCCCTTTTTTGGACATAGGTAATCCAACAGTTTCAGGGTATGTTTGGGTGCTGCACCCCAAATATGGGAACAGTATACCAGGACAGGTCGTATCTGTGCCTTATATATCATAAGCAGCTGACTGGAAGTGGAAAAGCTCCTGGCTCGAAACAGAATACCAAGTTTTTGGGATGCACTATTAGCAATTGATCACACGTGATTTTCCCAAGAAAGGTAATTGCTGGTAGTAATCCCAAACATCGAAAAGGGTGTCTTCAAAGGTGTGGTTACTCCTGACAAGCTTATGTTGAGCACAGTGAGATCGGCTTTTCTAGAGAAAAGACATGCTTGTGTTTTGTTTGCATTGAATTATTTTTCATCAAATGAAAGTATTTTGTATTGCGTGTATGGATTTGTTATCAAATCGCAGAGCGCTTTCTTTAAATTCATTTTCAGTGCTCTTTCTACAAGTAGAGAATACTGTTGAGGTTGAGTATTCGTCTGACTTTGATGTGGTTGGAATTATATCAGATAATGTTTCTGAATGATAATGAGGTCGTCGAATGAATTTTGGACCTTTTTGTGAATACTCGACGAGTGAGTAATTTACAACTTACTGATTACTATTCCATATGAAACAATCATCACTTGCAGATATAGCACGGAATAGCTGAATATGTTCTGCGATTTGATGATAAAATATTTACACGAAATGAAGAAACCTTCAATTGATTGATCAGTTACGTGCATGCAGCTTATACAAATAGCCATCTTTTTTATTGAAGACAACCCCGAGACTTTTATTTGTCGATCTTATTCCTGTTACCTAAATTAGTTATTATATACAGAGTGGCATTGAAATAAGGGCAAATATTTCAACCCTGATAAAGCTCGACGTTTACTGTCGTATGGCAGCAATGAAAAAATATAGAAATCAATATAAAGTTTGGGATTATACCCCTTTTCCCACCCACAGTTCTACACTGTAGCGATTCTGACGTCATCCCTGTTCAAACTCCCTTACAGCAGGCACAATCACGCGGAGTTGAATCATTTTAATCGCTCTCAAGTGGTGCACTTGAATATTTTTCTCGTTTTTTGTTAGATTTTCGGGATAACATTTCTCGTTCATTATATATATCAGATGCTGATCCCGATAAGTAGGAACATTGAATGGAACAATCTGATGCATTGAATTGAAATTTCTATCACACTCACCAATATAGAAGTATATCTCTGCCACCTCCGTAGAAGTGCCCCCTATCCAGAGACAAATGATCTGGAGAATGGAACTGAAGAGCATTGCTGCGACAGAGCCATACATAACTGTTTTCATGTAGATCGGAGGAAATCTTGACGTCATAGCCACGTTACTCATTGCGAAGAGGGTACCAGCGACTACAATAATGAAAATAGATTTCTCAAGTGATACAAAACAGTTTTAGAAATTCTGAAATTCTGCAATTCAGAGATTCATTAAACAATTTATTGGAATTCAATGAGGATTCAAGAACACAGGAAGTAGGTAGGAATAAAGACAATTAATAGGAAAATCACTGTATGAGTTGGTCAGGAAATCGGAGAATTTTTGATGAAAAATTGATCGATTAGAACATTAAAAAACTAAAGAAAGATGTTTGACTGACAATCTGTTGATTCATTTTTCTTCTTCTATATACAGAATCAGTCACTTTCTTTGGTGCAGTAACATTTTTGGAAATTACTTACCGGATTTCAGGAATGAAACTATCATAGTGAGGATGAAGAATTCAAGTTGCCCTGAAACAAAAAAATTGTAAGATCATTTGAGGTAGTAGGTGTGTGTCGATGATTTATCAATGGGTGAATAATCTTGTATCAAACATTAGTTCTACAATTTTTGATAACAATATGAGAACATTAGGATACGTATTCGTAGAACAGCAGTTAATTATTTCGTTGGTCATTAATAGCGGAAGTATTATCAGAGTTATTTTCGTTTATTCGACTGAAGCTTACATTACTTAATTTGGTGAGGAAAAAATGTTTCTTAGTAGGTGACATCCATTTTTGGAATCCTTCATCGCATTTTACATAATTCTGAATATGCTGAGCGAAGGAGAATTTCACAATGAAGACTCTTTCTGTACCAGTATTTTGAATAAGCTATTCATCAACCGCAAATCCTGTGAGCATTATTAACTGAAAGTAGAAGTTGAAGTAGAAGTCCTTAATGTCTTGAACCACATAATATCAACAGAATCACTTCAGCCCTTGCCCCAGGATGCACTAGTTGCGGCTCAAAAAATTATCTAGCATGTAATTTCAAGTGCCCCAATAGACCAACACCATCAAATCAGGAAGTCCCAAACCTACAGATGAAACATCTGAGAAAAAAAAAATCCATAGGAATTCCATTCGAAAAAAAAACTAGAATCAATTCGTCAGTTACAATTCATGATTTATCATTAACACCTACGTGAACGAGCTGAATGAACCTCTGAACAGTAACAGACAAATGCTATTGCAAAAAATCAAGAAACAATCCATCCACAACTTCAATGTGGATTCGATTGCAGTTTTTTCTAGCGATACGGTGTATATATGTTACGGACAACTTGATTATCCCAAACATTATTTATAATGCCCGAGCAGTTCTTAAAGTGCCCAACACCATCAGGTAATTCGATAATTTTGTATTTGTCTACGTGTTCTTTTTTTGTAGGAGGGATATTTTGCTTCCTCCCTGGAAAAATAACTGTCTTCTTAGGAAGAAGGTTCATTTAGATGGTTTATAAAAAGTAGTCTCCTTTTTCATGCAGGAGTGGTATTTTATCTCCTTCCTTTCTCCCTTCAAAATTGCCCGGCTATTATAAATAATGCCCAATTATTCACATCGCCGGTGACACATGTATAATCTTTTAAACTAGAATCGAAGAACCCAGAACCTCCCACAGAAGATATAAACTCCACTCAAAATTTACAGCAACGCCATGGCTCAAACAATAATTAATATACTGCATGACAATATAGACAGGTATATTCTGAGAAAACCAATAATCGGAATAAAACACAGAAAAAACAATGAAAACAAGACTCAAATCAATAGCACCTACAAGAATTGGGCAGTGGTCCAAATACAAGGATGTCAAATACATAACAGGCCCAGAAAAAGGAGTCTAATACAAGCACGCCCCAACAACAGTGAACAATGCACTCAAAGAATGTCTACATGTAACCATCTCCTTCAACAATGACATATAACACTTTGAAAAATGACCCTTTCGTTAACACAGACGCATAGAGCGATGATTTCAATGATTTCGAGAGCAGTTCTGATTCAGATTCGCAATTGATTTAGATTTGATTTGTTCGTGAGATGTTCCTAGCTTTAATTTGATTGTGAGTCATCATTTTGTTCACGTTGAACTCATGTCAGATATGATTGTCAGAAATGCCGACTATTTAGCTAAACTCGAATGAAATAATTATTCCATTCGATTCATCTTCACATTGATAACATACACAACCCGTTCTTTTTTCTTCCTTCTCAAATCCCCTCATCGTTGCTCAGATACTAAATATTCCTCGGTAAACCACACTTGTCAAAAATCAACAGTGATTTCAGAACCACAAGTACCTCCTTTCATTCACTCTTTCGATAATCCCAAATAAAGGTAACTAAGGCAGTAAGATTGTTGCAATATTGCTTTTATTTACAACCATATATGTAATGTTGTCATTACTAACGTCATTGAAAGTCGGAAATTGGCACATTACTACTTCCCGCCCTCACTTATGTAATAATTCAGGTATGAATGAATTGATCGAAATATAAAATAGTATACAAACCTCGGTAGGAAGTTTCATTCCTGTCTCGAAATTATAGCTAATCTCGACGCATTTCGTCTCGGTTAACTAACTAATCTCACGACAAGAATGAAACACTTTCCACCTTGGTGTCTAATTTACTATTACATACTCCTCAGAAAGACACATTTAAAATGAGAAATCAACAAAAACCTGATTGATCCATATTGATATATTGAACTTGAATTAATTTCGGCAATTTATCGAAATTTCACATTAGTAGGAAGCTTGAAGCAGAGACATCGACTGTTGGAAAAAATGTTAAATCATCTCCTTTTTGTACTCAAGTACGAAGGGTTTTATTTCTCAAACCGAAAGAGTTGTCCTCCTGCCTAATTTCATTGTAGCATGAATTTTTTCAGCTTCGTAACTAGTGATTCTATGTTTGGAGAACATTCATTATGACCATTGGTACGGTATACGTATATGTGCCACACGGCTTACAGGCGAGGTTGACATGAGAAAAAATTTCCACTGGATAATTTCCTCACGCTACCGCATCCTAGGCCTGGTGCTGAATTACTTACTTTCTGGAGTCAGATAAAACCGCGAGTTGATGAACGATCCAATTTCTGTGGCAAAATATTGGTTTACTCGACAACAAATGCCCAGTGATACGAGAAATTGCCTCGAACACTAGCTGATTCGCTTCACTGTGCCGGGTATTTCCGGCAGCATGAAAGCTGGCACAGTTGTTTGTTTTTTTTGTGTTCATCTAGGCCTCATCTACAATTTTTGTTAATTGTTTTTTTTTTGTCTGGGGCAAAAAGGTAGTTAACGCGTTTTGCTACCACCTGTTGTAACGGGCTTTATACTGTGGCCCTTACTTTGGCGCTCTGTTCAGGACGGAGACTACTCTGGTATTTGACGATATATAATATTCAACCCTAAATGGACACAGGAACCGCATCTACTACCCTTGCTAATGCTACTGAAAGAATTTGACTGAAAGATATCCAATAACAAAAAAGTTATGACCAGGTGAACATTCATCATTTCAACTGATGAATAATTAATCCCAATTTCATATCATAAGCAAAGGGTTGGAAAATATTGAAGTCTTTAGGGTTGTAATGATGTTTATCAGAGTTTACTATCAGGAAAAGCTTTAGAAAGTCAGGAATCAATGAGCTCTCTCAGGTTTTCAGGTTTCGAGCTTTCGAAAAGTGAAATTCAACTGGAATTAGTCTCAGGTACTTAAATATTAATCAAAACTAGTCTAGTAATGAAGCTGGTCCAAAACACTTTATTACACTGTAGCGCCACTGTACCCAGGGTAGCGGCAGGATCGGACGAGGCAAAATTTGTTCCTGCACAATAATCGTTTTTTGGTAATGTTTTCATGACTTACCTTGTTGGAAACTCAAAAATCGTCGGAATTCACGGTATATAAACCAACCCGGCTCTTTATCTATAATCAATATTCTTTCAGATTTTCTCGAAATGTTCTATTTCCAAATTCCACATTTTGTGAGATGGGATTGCTATTCGACTATTTGGATCTAGAACGAAGAAATGGATCCTCTTTCATGTCTGGAAACAACGATCAACAAACAACCTTAAGAATATTTTCCATCATATCTGAATTTTTCCTCACTAAAATCTGATATAATATGTTCTCATGCACACTCAAAATATCAATCAATGTCCGATCCGGCTTCGCACGGTTGGTGTACCTATTAGTAGAAGGTTCATTTGGGTTCGAACTATTACGGTTCTAGAACTGTCAGGAGTTCACGCAGTAGAATCGGTCACGTTCGGGTTTAGTGGAACTGTTCTAGGACTGACTTTTCACGCGCTCGGGTTTTTCCAGAATCCAGTTATGTTCCTGAACCCGGACCTGTCCATGGAGACAATGCGATGGCATCCAGAATGCAGAGTCAGCTTCCTACCGGACTTTATCTTTGCTGAATATTTTTATACCGTGAATTATCTTCTAAATCATTATATGAAAATGAAATATGTATTCTATTGAACATTCCATTTTTGTCACTTGTAGCCTGCATTTTCAACTTCATTAAAAAACGCATCGAGAAAAGACAATCTTTTATTGTGTGTTGAGTGAATGTTAAGAAAGAGTTATTCAATACAAAATTGGTTTCAAAACTACGAAGGTGCTTCTACGAACCACAACTGCTAGGGGCACAAACATAACTGGCGCAGTCGGTAGGATTTTGAAAAAAAAAAACAAGATTCAAAAACCACTACCAGGGAAAATTTCAGAAGACGAGTTAACATAGTGTGGAGAAACTGCAAGCAGGAAGATTCAATAGTGTTTCAACAAATCTTCAGTGAATTTCCAAAAAGACTTTAGTACCTGCGAGTGAGGACAGCAATCCAACTTGGAGATACGGGGTGCAAATCTGAATATCCCAACAGAGGAACGAATCAGAGGACCACTATCAACCACTTCGAAGGAAAGCATTCCCTAGATTGGTTTAGTATTAAGAAGAAAGAAAACCAAGAAAACGAAGACCCAAACAACCTAGATGTAAGTCATTCTCAATTTTTCCTTCACTTTCTTTTCCTACACTGTGAAAAATTATTCTCTCTCAATTTTTTATGTTCAACGTAGTCAGAGAAATATCACAAAAAAACCGTGAAATCCGTGAACAGTGTGCTACTTTAAACCAACAACACTATAATTTAGTTACTGAAAGTAACAAAAACCTAAATCTTGACTCCCTTTTTCAAAGTTTCGCTAATTTGAATTTGGAAAGTAACGAAACTGATTCTGTAATGTCTACCAACATGAACTATCAACAATTGAAACTCTTTTTGGATATCATACCATATTTTTCTGGTGATCCTTGTGAATTGAATAATTTCTGTGCAGCTTGTGATGAAACCTTTATTCAATATGATGCAGAACCTGCATTCATAAAAAAATTAATTTTGAGAGGTTTAATCAGCAAACTGAAAGGAAAAGC